GGGTAACAGTTTTAGTAACAGGATAATTTTTGAGAGTGGTAAGTTTCCCGAAAGCACACAGCAGGTCACCTGGTGCCTGCATAGAGAGCTCCCGGGCGCGGGAAAGAAACACTGAGCAGCGAAGCGTCCAGGCTTCACACCAGAATCGCCCTAAAGGCCTTCAGCCCTCAGGGTTGCCCCAGCGAGCAGGGACGTGCATAGTGGACAAGCGGCCTGGCGCTAGCGTCAAATGACGTCAATGGGCCGCGCCAGCCAATCGGAGCGGCCCCGTCGTAGGCGCCGCGGCGGCCCGCGGCCTGCAGGCGGCGCTGTAGCCCGCCGGGCGGCCCCACGGAGCCGCCATAGCCGCCCGCCTCCCGCGACTTAACGTCTCCGCTGCCGGCTCCGCGTCGCCGCCATGGCCGACGTGGAAGACGGCGAGGAACCCTGCGCCCTGTCCTCTCACTCCGGGAGCGCAGGCTCAAAGTCGGGAGGCGACAAGATGTTCTCTCTTAAAAAGTGGAACGCGGTGGCTATGTGGAGCTGGGACGTGGAGTGCGATACGTGCGCCATCTGCAGGGTCCAGGTGATGGGTAAGCGCTACACGCGAGGCCGGGGCCCCGTTCCGGCCTCCGCCGGGCGGACTTGGAGTGGGGGACGGGGGAAGAGGGCTCCGAGAGACTTGGGTCGGCTGGAGTGGGGGCAGGGGTGCCGGGGCTAACAGTGCTGCAGCCGGCCTGAGGGCTGCTGCTGCCGCCGCCGGGGCTTCCGCGGGCGCCCGGCGTCGGGAGCTGGTCTTGTAGCGAGAGAAACGGATTGTGAGTCCAGGAATTAAGGTAATTTCAGGTGGTGATGGGTGTGGCCGAGGAAATAAAACTGGGTCATTTGTTGGCAGCTAGGAGAAACCACTTGGGTTGGTGTGGCCCGCTCCGTCTCCAAAACCACACCGCAGAGGGGGTCAGAGTAAAGGCCCGGAATAAGGAGGGCACTTTAATGATTGTGGTCACACACCGAAGTGATGCTCTGGAGTCGTCCTCCACAAAAACGACACCCTCAGTCCGCTCCTCAGAGGCGAAGGGAGGAAAAGTGTTGTAGCCGTTGCATTTTTGGATTAGCTCCTGATGTTCCGCAGTCTTTTTAAATCTGCACGCCTCAGGATGGGTCAGATGGCACTCCCTTGTCTTGAAGGGGACACAGTGTGGTTCAGGAGTATATAAGGTTCGCGGGAATTGAAGAATGTAAGCCCTTTATTCAGAAACATAAAACTTCATCTCCTTCTGGCCCCTCCCTATCGTAGGATGCCATTTCCTGAAGAAGATCTGACTTGCTCTGTGTCAGGCCTTTGTGGAGAACCCTCTTGTACAAATAAAGTCTTAACTTCTTTCTGTGATATTTCCGATCAAAATACTGGACCAAGTGAAACCCGGCAGAGCAGCTTCATCTTTTTATATTTTATATGCGCTCTGTTTTAAGGTCTCAGACCACCTTGAAAAAGAGATGCTATCTAAATGCAAGTTACATTTTTAAATCATTTAAAATACTGAGAGAGTATTTCAGTGTTTCTTGGGGTAGGTGGAAAAAAAACAGGTTCTGTAGTTCGAAGACTTTGTGTTTTGCTCTGAAAAATGAGAGAATTGGAGAAAATAAACACAATTACTATCTCAAGGGATGAAATTTAAACCTACCAGAATCCAGAGATTCTCAGTTTACACTCTCTATAATACACTCTTTTGTTTTTTATTCATAAAGCTTGTTTCAAAAAGGATTAACAAAAATGGGATTAAAATATTTTTTATTTCTTACTTTTGAAAGAACTTGATTTCAGACATGATCCACTTATTTTAGAATTAGGTCTTAAAAGTACCTAGTTTACTGGCCTGCAGTAAAGCCGCCTTACCCCACCCCTTATTCAAACTACAGTCATAATTTCCAGTTTATGTGCCATTGTTAACTTATCCAGACAATTTAATCTTTTCTTCTTTTGCAAGACAAGCTTTGCTAAATATTTTATCCTCAAAATTTTCTTTAGTTTAAAAAGAAGAGTGTTCGAGGGACGCCTGGGTGGCTTGGTTGGTTAAGCGGCTGCCTTTGGCTCAGGTCATGATCCCGGCATCCTGGGATCAAGTCCCACATCGGGCTCCTTTCTCTGCGGGGAGCCTGCTTCTCCCTCTGCCACTCTGTCTGCCTGTGCGCTCTCTCTCTCTCTGACAAATAAATAAATAAAATCTTAAAAAAAAAAAAAAAAAAAAAAGTGTTCGAGAAAGCGTGTTTTATATTTTTCCCCGAAGAAAAGTTTTATATTTGTAAGTAGAAATACAGAATTCAGAGTAATGGTTGAAATCTTGCAACAAATAAGCTTTACTGGGATATTTAGAGTAAGTCAAAGTATGGCTATAAATGGTTCACGTTAATATTAACATTCTAATTATAGCCAGTATTCTGCTATGGTGGATTATTTTTGCAGATTTACAATGGCTGTCCTTTGAGTTCAGGAAAGTATTCTGGACTAAACCTCTGTATTTTGTTTATGAGGTGTTAAAATCCATTTAGTGGTCAGGTGACAGAAGGAAGTTTGTTTTTCAGACTTCCCAAGCTTACCCTAGCAGCATCATTCTAAAAGGTGTTACTGTTATTGCACTCCTTAGAAATGTTCTGTTTTAGATCTTACGAATATCATGAAAAGAATTTTTTTTTAAGATTTTATTTATTTATTTGTCAGAGAGAGAGAGAGCACACAAGCAGGCAGAGTGGCAGGCAGAGGAAGAGAGAGAAGCAGGCTCCCCATCGAGCAAGGAGCCCGATGTGGGACTCAATCCCAGAACCCTGGGATCATGACCTGAACCGAAGGCAGCAGCTTAACCAAATGAGCCACCCAGGCATCCCATGAAAAGAATTTTTTTTATTTTATCTAAAAATTTAGGAATTTTTAGATTTAGGTTGGGTTTTGATAATGAGTCTAAAAGCACAATCAAAATTGTAATCCAGAGATTTCTCGATTGTGCAAAGGAGCCCACTTAATTCTATTTCCTTCACATTTCAAATTCATTTTCTTACACCTAAACGATTTATTGTAACTTCTTGATCCAAGATTTGCCTGTCAGCCTGTTCTGATGTGGTTAACACTCTCTTCTTTGGTTTCGGCTCTTCTCCCTTCATTCTGAAAGGGGCAGATGGCAGTGACCCAAGTGTTGAAGAAGAGGAAAATAGGTTTGCTAGTTCTGTTGAGTTCTAAAGAGCTGGAGTAACCCTTCATGGCTATTTATGTTAACTTGGACATTTGACATACCTTTTGGAGTCTTGTTTTCCTAATTTGTGAAAGAGGTAGTTGGGGTCACAGACTATAATTCTATGATTATACAGAACCAGAGCCATGTCTTCACCCTTATATCATGATCCTTATGATATTTAGTTGTTTGCCTGCCTACCTCCCCATTTCCTGGTGAGACCAGGGACCCAGACTCAGTCATTTTGGTGTCCCCAGTGCATAACTCCTTATACAGAGTAGATGCTCAGTAATTGTGGGATTGAAGAAAGCCTCAGGAGGCAGTGGTTGTTTTTAATCCACATCGAAGAGGCCAGGGTGGTGTGTTTTTTTAGGGTAAGAGCATGCAGAGAGGAGCAAACAAACGCCTGAGCATAATCCAGTTTAAGAAGAGGAGCAGGCTTCAACTCCACTGTGTATCTATTTTTACAGAATTCTTTTTCTCCAATTTATGTTAGAAACTAATTTTTTTTTCTGTTGGTTTGAATTTCCTTTTACCCGTCTTGGACTCCTCTTCCAGCTAGTGAATGAATCCATTTTGGGGGGTCCCATTATTTTATATTATCTCCTTCATGAAGCAAATAGTAGTAGAGTGAATTTGGAAAACTTCTAGTATACCCTTTAGGTTCCCATTCCTAGAATTTACTCCCAAATAAATTATCAAAATACTTTGCCATTGTTGGATAAATGCTTTGGACTCAGACATATTCATAAAGGGAGGATTTCTTTTCCTTTGCTTTGCTTTTTCCTTTTCTCTCCTTTTTTTTTTTTTTTTAAGAATTTATTTTTTATTTGTAGGACAGAGATCACAAGTAGGCAGAGAGAGAGGAAGGGAAGCAGGCTCCCCACCAAGCAGAAAGCCCGATGCAGGGCTCCATCCCAGGCGCCCCTTTTTCTTTCATTTTTTTAAAGATTTATTTATTTGTGAGAGAGAGAGAGAGAGAGAAAGAGCAGGAGAGCACAAGTGGTAGAGAGGGAAAAGGAGGCTCCCCATTGAGCATGGTGCCTGATGCCCCAGGACCCTGGGATCATGACCTGAGCTGAAGGCAGACACTTAACCAACTGAGCCACCCAGGAGCCCCAAGGGAGCATTTTCTTTAAAAAGAAAAAAAAAAGAGAGACAACATAGTATTTAAGAGGTTCTTTAAAAATTAGTATTTTAATTTTTGTATAGATCATATAGTCACATAATTCAGAATTTTAAGAAAATATACAGTGAAAACTCCTTCCCACCATCCCCTCTTTGGTAGACTTTATTAGTAGTTACTTGGTATTCTTCTGGAGTTTCTTTATGTGTGTATAAGCAAATACCAATATATATGCATGGCTTACCTAAAATGGTATCTTGAAAATAAACTGCCCTTAAGGTTGATCTATGTGATCATGCCCAGTGAGTCTATATGAACTTCTAATATATAATGGAGTATGGCATATTTTTCTATAGTGATTGCATGCACCTTGGGGACATCTTCTCATCAGAGCTTGTGAAAATAGAGGGTTTGTAACCCTTGTGAAATTGCTCCTGGTCATAAGTAAATAAGTAGAGTGCCTTGTACTTTATTCATCTTTAAACAGTTATGTTCAGATGAGAAATTAATAATACGGGTCTCTTATCTCCATCTCTAACCCTTTGGGCTTTTATTTGACTTTGAAGTGTCTGGGTTTTAAAAATTGCATTCTGAGCATCAGAATGAGAATTGCTATTTGTTTATTTTTAGATGCCTGTCTTAGATGTCAAGCTGAAAACAAACAAGAGGATTGTGTTGGTATGTTGTAATTTCATTCTCTTGCTTTTCCAACTGAAGGTTTTCTCTCAGTGGGGATGTTTGAATTTGCAATCAAGATTGACTTTATCAATACACAAAAATAAACTGTAAAGCAGTGATCCATTATTAATATAAAATGTGTTGGTTCTCTAAAGGCCTTAATGGAATTAATGTACAAGTCCTTTTATTTCCTGTAATTAAGAATTGATTACATATTCTAGATGTGGGTTTTTTTTCATATTTCATATTCTAAAAAGAAATCATTCTTTTCTATTAAGAAAATTATGAAGTAAGGAATTTGCCAAGACATCTTAAATTTAACTGTATTATAGGTCAGATTTGGTAAGGTTTTATTCTAATAAAGCACTTCAGTTTTCAGTACTCTTATGATATAATATTTAACTTTTCAACTAACAGAAAAAATTTTAAGTCTCAAGATTTTCTCCAATATAGTTTATATATGGAAATCTATTAAATCTTGTTAATAGTCTGGGACTACAAAAGTTGTCTTAAGCTAAACGTTTTAAGCAGTTCAAAAGTTTTTATGTCCTAGATCTTGAAGTCATCACTTCTAGATTGCTATATATAAAAGCTTTTCTGGAGATGAAGGTTAACTTTGTACTTTGTGTTTGCATGGTTTACATACAGCATCTTAATAATGATTTATGTTGTATTTATTAAATCCTGTTTTTTCATCCTGAAACACTTAGAATGATTTCCCCTTGTTTCCTATTCCCTATAGCTAATTTTCATAAGAAGATGTAGGTTTCTTTCATGGTTTTTTTTTTTTTTTCCTTTTTTTTTCCTATTTCTTTCCATTGTTTTGTTATGATGTAGGTTAAGGAAGTGACAAATAAAACCCACATTTGAGACTGTATTTCAGATTATGGGTGACTTCCCTTGGTTTAAAAAATACTAACAGAAATTGTGAGGTTCAGGCCACCTTTCTTTGACCACAAAGAGACCTATCTCTCTTTCCAGCCACCCGCTTTGAAAAGTTAATGTATTTGTCACATCAGGAATTGCACTGCTTATGGATGACTTAACACAGTTCATCACTACTTTTGGAAAATAACTCACTAGATGTACAACTAATGTTTCGAAGCATGGCATCTATTTATAATAGACTACTATGAACTGAAAACATTTAACTCATTATCTTGGTAAATCAAAATCAGGAGGCTGTTTCTTAATAAAGTAAAACTCAAAAGGTTTCCAGGTCAGTGTATGACTGAGAAGTTCTGGGATCTAAGGAAGGCTCAAGTTCTTTAATCTCCTAACTTCAGGAAGACAGCTTGTGGAGCTGTGTAGGGGCTGGGGGCCACCACATCATCCACAGATTCTAAACAATGCTGGAAAGTCCCCTAATCACAGCGCCTCATCTCACTTCTTAAGTGTAATTTACACAGGTAAGTTTTTATTTCTTGATAGGTAGAAAAAATGTTGACCAATTAGCCATCTTGATTCAAGATCATGAACCATGATTATTTGTCGTAACATAAAATAACCTATGATTTGAGTTCAGTAATTTAACTTAAAATATGTAATGTCAAATAATCTTTTTTTTTTTCTCCTTTCAGTGGTCTGGGGAGAATGTAATCATTCCTTTCACAACTGCTGCATGTCCCTGTGGGTGAAACAGAACAATCGCTGCCCTCTCTGCCAGCAGGATTGGGTGGTCCAGAGAATCGGCAAATGAGAGTGGCGGAAGGCTTTCGTAGTGCATTTATTTGGAGCCCTGGTGGATCTTGTTATCAAGTGCCCTACAAAGGCCAGGACACTCCAGGGAACTAATTCTTCAAGTAGGAGGAGATGGCTCTGTGGTCTTTTGGTACTCATCAGAGGCATCGTTCGGCATTTTGTTAGTTTTATTTTCAGAAATTCTCTACTATTAAGAAGATAATTTATTAAAGATGGTCTTTCCTACCTCTGTGGTATGTGTCACACACACTGCTTAGAAGTGCTTTAAAGGAGGAGAGAGCTACAAATTGAATGACTTCATAATTTTCTTACTGATATCCAAGGGCTGTGGAAGCAGTTCCATTCGGAAGAGAACTTGTTGCATGCTTATAGTCGATCGGTTAAAAAAAAAAAAGACAATGTTACAGTAACAAATAAAGTGCAGTTTAAAACCCAACTCTTATCCTCAATTTGTCCCTGATAGTTATTTTTGGCGAGAGGGGGTGATTCATGAACTCTTTATTTGATATAATGAAAATTTTAAGTTTGGACCAGTGAACAGGGTAAATAAAATTTAACCTTTGGGCATATGCAATTTCAATTGCCTTTCAAGCTATCATCCTCTGTCTTGGGCTCATCAAGAAAACCTAAATTTACATTCACCTCACTGCTCAGTCATTGGACGATAAAGAACAGAAGTATTTTCAAGTTCTGGTCAGATTATGTTGTAATTAAACTGTGTTTTGGGTGGAATGTTAATGAGGAGAAAATGTTTACCACTGTAGCATTGGATCAAAAAGTTTATTTTATTACACAATGTTTTAATAAATGGTTTATTCTGTTTATTTAATTTGAATTGTCATTATTACAATTTTACATACAACCTTAAACTTCATGTTAATAAACTAATATGTTAACTGAATGATTTTACTTAATTTGAAAAAATATTCATATACTCTTATTTGGTAAAAAATAGAACTTAAAGTTTATTACCTGGAAAAATTAAGTGTGAGAATATACTTAAATTTTATTAAACTCATTCACATTTAATGGAGGTTATTTGGCAACAGATAATGGGCCACAAGTTTATTTTGAATTTTTCCATAATAAAGGTCACAGCTATGAATTTTAAAAACTAAAGTCTTGGGGCACCTGGGTGGCTCAGTTGGTTAAGCCTCTACTTTCTGTCTGGGTCATGATCTCGATGTCCTGGGATCGAGCCCTACATTGGGCTCTCTGCTCAGCGGGGAGCCTGCTTCCCCCTCTCTCTATTTGCCTCTCTGCCTACTTGTGATCTCTCTTTCTGTGTCAAATAAATAAATAAAATATTTCAAATAAAAACTGAAGTCTTAAAAACTTTATCATCCATTTCTGCAGTTTGTCAATCTGAATCTTATATCTAAGGAATGTGAATACACAAAAGAATGTTAAAAACTAGAATTCATAGGCTTTCATATTGGCTACTATTAATCTGATTTCTCTGGAAGTTATTGCTTTATTATATATTTTTTCATATTTTACTGAAAAACTTACTACAATGTAGGGGTAAAGCATCTTTCTATCATATAATATCAAGGGTAATACTATCAACATGATTTATTGACGTTCATGATGACCTAGATTACTTGTCTGGATTTTTGGTCAAGCTTTTTTTTTTTATTTTATTTTTAAGTTTTGTTGTTTTTTTGTGTTTTTGTTTTGTTTTGTTTTATTTGTTTGTTTTTGAGAAAAAGAATACACGGTGGGGAGAGGCAGAGAGGGAGAGAGAGAAGCAGACTTCCCACTGAGCAGGGAGCACAATTCGGGGCTCAATCCCAGCACCCGGAGACCCTGACCTGAGCTGAAGGCAGACACTTAACCAACTGCGCCATCCAGGCACCCTGATTTTATTTATTTTAGAGAGCATGCAAGCAGGGGAGGAGCAGAGGGAGAGGGAGATAATCTCCAGCAGACTCCATGCTAAGCATGGAGCCCAACACTGGGCTCAATCTCAGGTTCCTGAGATGATGATAACCTAAAACCAAGAGTCAGATGCTTATCTGACTGAGATACCCAGGCACCCAAATCAGGCTTCTTTCCTGTAGTTACTCTTTCCCTTTTTCCATACGGCATTATTAGGGAGAATGTTACTAAGGGAAGATAACGCTTAGGGAGTGGGAGTTAGACTTCTACTTCTCAAGGATAGAGTATTCCATTATTTGGAATTCTTCAGCATAGGATATTTATCTTTTCTCCATTTATTTAATCACTTATCTATATCAGTGAGTAGTGATAAATCCTTTTGGAAAGATTAAAACTTATCAATTCCGTGGAAATGAAGGGTTCTTAGACTATTCTGGATAGAACACCATTTATGTAATGATACTTGTGTAAGGAAGGATGGGGGATAAAGAAATAACAGGGAAAACAGTTTAAGCAACATATTCCAAACACATTATAGATTAAATCCCGAAGTTTAATCCCACTTTCAACATCTCATTTTGAGGTCTCCAGAAGTCATAGCATATGCATGCCAGAATCTCTCTCCCAACATACTAATATACACAAAACTGAACATTAGAATGAAGTTCTAGCTGGTTGCTTTTCAATCTATGATCCTTTATTACACTTCAGATCTTCAAATTAGATTTTTTTTTGCCTTAGGTAAACCTAAAATGAAACATTAAATTGATGCATAACATGTCATTAATTTAAAAAATGATTTGGGGGGGCGCCTGGGTGGCTCAGTGGGTTAAGCCGCTGCCTTCGGCTCAGGTCATGATCTCAGGGTCCTGGGATCGAGTCCCGCATCGGGCTCTCTGCTCAGCAAGGAGCCTGCTTCCCTCTCTCTCTCTCTCTCTGTTCCTGCCTCTCTGTCTACTTGTGATCTCTCTCTGTCAAATAAATAAATAAAAATCTTTAAAAAAAAAAAAAAAAAATGATTTGGGTTGGGTTTTTTTTTTTTAAGAAAACCATGTAATTAACATCATATCTTACAGAAAACTGAGAGCTGTAAGTATATTACTAGCAAAGACTTTAGAAAAGTTATTATATGAGTTTACATATGATAAATGTCTCTATTGAACATCTGCTGAAACCTTAGAATTGAGTAGATTTGAGGATAGATATGGAGGTAAAGACCTAGAGGAATGACAAAGTGGGAAAATTCCCCTATAGAGATGTAGTTATTTCAAGCCCCAAACCGTGTATCACAACACAGTCTACATACTCTGACTTCTTCAGGGATTTTCATTTTTTTTTTTAAGATTTTTATTTATTTATTTGACAGACAGAGACCACAAGTAGACAGAAAGAGAGGAGGAAGCAGGCTCCCCACTGAGTAGAGAGCCCAATGTGGGGCTCGATCCCAGGACTCTGAGATCATGACCTGAGCCGAAGGCAGAGGCTTTAACCCACTGAGCCACCCAGGCGCTCCTCTTCAGGGATTTTCAGTTGAAGAATCAATACAAAGAGAAGAATGAAAATAAAGCAAAAATATAACATTAATGGCAGTCAACCTGGAGAAACACAGTATTGCATCATAAAAGATTAAAAAATGTGGGGCACCTGGATGGCTCAGTTGTTAAACATTTGCCTTTGGCTCAGGTCATGATCCCAGGGACCTGGGATTGAGCCTGGCATCAAGCTCTCTGCTCAGCAGGAAGTCTGCTTCTCCCTCTCCCACTCCCACTGCTTGTGTTCCCTCTCTCTCTGTCAAATAACTAAATAAAATCTTCAAAAAAAAAAAAAAGATTAGAAAATATTACCTAAAGACATAATTTACTGAATGTGAAAGATGGACAAAATTTGTTAAGTGTGTTTTCTTGCATTCCTCTTTAGAATATTTAGAGTAAGTAGCACATAAAATGTTTGCAGTACAGTGTAGTGTATACATAGAATATAGGTTTTATACTTCTAGTACAGATTTGTCATTTTACGGTAGTAAATTATATGTAATATATAGTACAATGTATTACAAGTAAAGATAGATGGTTAGATAGTACTGCTTTTTCCTTGTGATAGGACTTATTGCTTAGACAAACACTGAAGCTGATATGTGTATTCTTGCCATTTGGTATTGTTTCAAAGATTCATGGCCTTAAGTTAACTGTTGAGACATATGCTAAGAAAATAGGCACTGAATAAGATGTTACATTGCATCTCAAATGAGGAATACATTTAGGGAGTAAAACTTGAACGCATTTTTAAAATTGGCATTGTATACTACTGTTTCTTTTTCTCCTCTGAGGAAGTCATTAATCATGCTGTTTCCTCCTAGTAAACTTACGTTGACATTAACCATTCTGTTTTAGGCACATGTTCTGTGGATGCAGAGGAAGATTTAGGATGTGTACTAGTCAAGCAGCTCAGAAATTACTCTCTCACAGATGACTGAGCACCAATACAGATAGCTTAGTGATCAGCCTTACATTTCTATCGTAGTAGTTTGCCAAGGAGACAGTCCAGCATACTATTTTCTCTGTATATAGAAAAAAACAAGTATTCGTTTTTCTTAACTGGATTCAGTCTTCTTGCAATGACTGAAATTAAAAAAAAAAATCTCCACAGAAGCCAGTTATTACAGTTATAAATATATTGGTTCACAATGGGAAAATAAGATTCCATTTCAAATGCCCCACTCCCCAATACAAAGCATATTTCGATTCAAATTTGTTGAACTTAGATTTGGTTTACTTTAAGCGCAATGTGTATATGGATGTGTAAGTGTAATATGACACATGTATTCATCCATTCATTAAACTCACTGTTCGCATTGTTCAGGTATATAAAAGAATCAGAAAAGTAATCTCCTTGAAGGATAATTTTGTTTTATAAGAAGATGTTTGAGCTACAACTGGAAAATGTCGTGTCCCCAATGCAGCAATCAGAAAACACATTTGTAGACAGGACAGTAAAGAGTTGGATAGTGGAGTGACTGAGTAGAAATTAATGAGAAAACCACTGAAACATAATATCTATTTCTAGAAGAAAATAAAGAACATGGGAAGGATGAATGGATGGAAAGCTTGAGGAAAGCCCTGTGAACCAAAGAATGGGGAAGAATGACCTCCTTTACTATGTAGTAGACATTGAGAAATCAGATATCTATAGTTAATATCTATATTATATAGTTATATAAATATATAACTATATTATACAGTTAATATCTATATAGTTAATATCTATAGTTAATCCTTTACAAAAATTATATAGGCACAACTATGTTAAAACAGTATGCCTAATCTAACAAGACTAGTGTGATAGTTACATAGGAGTTGGGCATTTACAGTAAGATCAGTAGAACTATATTTAACAAATAAGTTACTATAAAGGGAGTAAAAATAGTGCTTATGAAGGAGTTTGTATAAATTATTTTATATTTAATTCCCTTTAGTGTGCATAATTTAGACTTCATGCCTCACTTTTAAGTTTTTTAAATGGATTTGACTATGTTGCATTTATAACACACTTTTG